TCTATTCTATTCTATTCTATTCTATTCTATTCTATTCTATTCTATTCCTTCTATTCCCTAATCGTAATGAAGTCGGGTATGAAGATATTGAAGAGTACTGGGCCTAAGACACTGCTTACTTCCCTCCGTGTAGATTTAGACCCATTAAGGACTACTCGTCGAGTACAGTTTGTCAGCCAGTTGCGAGTCCATCCAGTGGTGGTGCTATCTGTTCCATTTTTTTCTAGCTTGCCAAGAAATAGATTGGATAATTAGTGGAGAAAGACTGCAAGGAAGAGAGGTGCAAGAAAGAGAACGTTTGAAATAGAGATTGATGGACAAATTATTTCAAGCCAGAACTTTTCATGTGTGCCAATTTATACAAGGATCCATCCCATTTTTGCAGCATTCTCTGTTTCTCTTAAATTTGTACAAATACACTGAACTTGCAGGGAACCTGCTTTCTCTCAAACTATATATTTTGAAAAGTATTTTGAAGTGCTTTTTTTTAGCCAAGAATTACATTGCGTGGCATGTGATACTAAACTATTTTTATGAGATGTGGGAATCAGATTAGGTCATACTGTACGTTACTTTGCAAAGTATAAGGATCTATTAGCTTCACCCACCTGCGTGCTTCTTTTCAATGTAAAAATGACAGGGGTTTTATATAAAGACTGCAACAGTCTTTGATCTCAGCTGAAAAAGAATCATAACAGGAGCAGAATCCTCATGCGCCTCAGTGAAGAATGTAACTTCGTGGTTTTGGATCAGAGGCAGAGATGGATTTGCACACACATTTATACAAAAATACCAAAAATGAATGAATGAGTGAATGAACGAATGGATGAATTGCATAATGGCTTCTCTAGAATTCAGTTCTGGGAAAAGAATTGCCCAGGGGAAATACAAAGGCTGATACTGAGTTGCTATGAAGCAGAAGATTCATTTATGATCTAATTATGATCCAATTTCCTTGGCATAATAATTAATCTGGCAGTATTACAATCATATAATTCAAATTTGTTTTGGACTCTATCCAATATTTTAATGATGTAATTTACTTTTTATCCATGTTTCAAGGTGCAACTTCCCCAAATATCAACATTAATCTAGATATTTGTAGTTGTGGAATTTAGGACTGATTCACATAGTATTTCAGATGCAAGCCTCTACTTGCTCTTGAAACATCTAGAATAGTTCTGTGCTGTGCGGTGGAAGTTTAATCCTTAAAATCTTTGCTCCTTATGTAGGGTTTAAAAGAAAGCAATCTCTTGGTTTGTGTGAGTGAACTGAAAATTGCAACTGGATAGTTTTTTTTTTTTAAAAAAAACCAAATCTCATTCTTTGGATCCATTTCATTCAATTAATAGTATATATAAATTATATTAATAATTAATTGTTTCTACTCCTAATCACATGATAGTCTTAAATAGAGCAAAAGGGATAATAATTTAAAATAATCAAAGCATGCTTGGGATTTTATTATTTAAATATGTCACATCATTCTTAAGGGTGCTTTATAATAGCCAGAATGTGTAAGTTGTGATGGGGGGAGGGAGGGGGAGAGAAAAGTCAGATATTTTTTGCAAATGTCCAGACTTGAGGCAAGGGTCTCAAAACATCTTGCATTCTCCATTTCCCATTGGGCAGCAAAGAGAATGTTTTGAACTAAGAGGTGAGATAAAATTAAATGGATTTGGTATTTTGTATTTGCCAATTACATCTGAAAGCAGTAAAACCTCCTTCAGGAGGGTTACTCAGCTGGAACGTTTGTTTACAGAAACTATAACAGTGTTGCTGTCGTTGATGGATGTAATTTTAAAAGCAGCTTTGACAAGCACATTACTTCTCTTCTTGCACAAAATCGCCCATGCCTGACTGCCAATTTTTCAATGAATGTTTTGTCTACTTATGGAAAAAAAGCATGAAAGAAAGATACAATTAATCCAGTTGGGAAATTATAATCATTTCATCTTTAGAGATTTTTTTTAATGCTGCACAAAACTGTACAATTGACATGATTTTTTGTAGTGTTCTTTTGGAACAGCAAGTTTCAAACAGAGCTACAATACTGGATGAACTAGAAAGTGGAAGAGCAATCCTATAGCAAACACCAAAGAAGTATTTTCTCTGGGAACTATCAGATAAAGAAGAGTAAGCTACTGTTCAAACAACTAGAGCCAGTGATATGAATAATGTTAATAGGAATAAGGGTATTCTTTGATAGCAATGGTGGGATTCAATTTTTTTTACTACCGGTTCTATGGGTGTGGCTTGGTGGGCGTGGCAGGGGAAGGATACTGTAAAATCTCCAGTTAGAGGTGGTATTTGCTGGTTCTCCGAATTACTCAAAATTTCCGCTACCGGTTCTCCAGAACTGGCCAGAACCTGCTGAATACCACCTCTGTTTGATAGGTCCAGCCGTCTCAAAAGAAGCTCTTGCTCCTATCACACTCCCTGTAAAAGGAAAGGATGAGATAGCTGATGAAAATAATTACATATTACCCCTTCAAACCCTTCAAAATACAGCAATGCACAGGCAACTTCCAGATGAATGGACATTGATTTTCAGAAGGTCACAACCAACATGTCCATTAGTTGGTATTTTGGAAGTGAAGAAATTTGAAACCCCTTGGAAATATACAAATGATTGCAATTTACTACCTTTTAGCTAGATCTATCTGATGGGATCGTTGCTGTGATTATAAAAATTAGTATGGGGATAGTGACATCATATATGAGATCCTGGAGAAAACGTGGAATACTAATTAACTAATGAACAAACATAATTTTCACTTCTATTTAACTAAATGTTTCCTGTTGGAATATACAAGCTAGCTTAGACTGTCTTCATGTGTGTGCATATCCCAGCAATTTAAACATCTTCCACTTTCTGCCTGAACGGACAGCAACACTTTTCCTAACATTTAAGCTGTTTCAGTCTAAAGTATTACACCAGCAAATCTTTGCTATTCCTCCCCAAATCATTCTATTAAGATTCATCATCCTCATATTTTTTTTAAAAAAATCTTCAGATAAAAGGTTCAAAATGCACTTTTTTCTTTAAAAAAAAATCTTACTCAAATTAGTTCCTGCAGAAATCCATATCTTTGTATCATACATCATACAGCACATGTATCAGGGTATTCTTTTTTGGAGGCAGCAACATTATCCTGAAGTGCAGAAAGGAAGTAAAAAATACCAAGTCAAAAAATTAGAGAAATGAGATAAACAAAGAAACTTTATCTAAATTTAGCTTATTCCAACACCACTTGAAATGCCTTTCCATACCTTTCTACCTGCCATCCTTGTATTTCCAGTACCAGTACACTTAATATATTGTCTTTTCTTCTTCAAATTTTTACCTTTGTTTTTTGTAGAATCTCATAACTTGATCTCACTAGAACTCACTTTTTACCTAATTTGAACCCACCAAGACCTTCCTCTTAAACCCATCCATTCTTCCTTGATGTATTTATCTAGTGATTCAGTCCTCATTCATGCTCTCCAAATGGTCTCCATACTGGTCATTTAATTGCAAATGTAAAGTTCAATGTCACATGACCACATCACTTAGCAATGGCAGTTCCGGCAGTTCTGGTTGCTGCCATTAAACAAGGACTGCACAGGTTAGATGAGGACTTCATGGGATCACAACTTCTGGTTAGCTTCCCATTGACTTTGATTGTGGGAAGACAGCAGGAACATTGGAAATTGCAATCATGTGACCATGTCTTGCGGCAATGTTCTAACTGTGAGCTAGGTGCTAAGTGCTTGAATCACGCTCATATAACCACAGGGACACTACAACAGGTGGAACTCTGAGGACCAGTCATAACCCTACTCAATCAGCCCTATCACAATTTTTAGTGGCCACTGAATGATTTGTTGTCACCCAAGGACCACTTTTACTTAGTTCCCACCATAACCCATGCTTTTTTCTGGATCTCTTGACATACCCCAATTCTCATTTCTGTATAAGAATGTGGACATAAACTTGCTCGTGTACACAGCTAGATTTCCTTCTTTTGAAAAACATCATCTACTTTCTTTCTCTTTCTCTTTTTTTGTTATTTGTGCCAAAAAGCATCTAGTTTGGTCTTGGATTTTACCGTTTATCTAATTTCATGTTTTCAGCCAACAACATGATGTTATCTACATAGAAAAGTGCATGTCTATTCATGGTCTCCTCCAATGTATCTTTAATGTCACTACAAGCATTCCTTAGGCACACATCCATAAATATATTAAACAATCAAAAGGGAATTACACATCCTTCACTTATTCTGATCTCAGTGTAAACCTTTTGCCAAGTATTCCATTTATTCTCCTGCATATACTACTTTTATTATATGCTCCTCTTCACTGCCTTTTTCAACCATCCCTTACATATTTGCACACAAAAACTATAAAGTAATACATTCACTTTGTCATACAAACAGACGTGTGCACACACACTTTTCTGCAAGGGAATGCTGCTTTTTTTTTTACTTTTGGCAACAGCAGAAGCTATTGCTCTGCAGATATCTGATATAGAGATATTTAAAATATTCCTGGCCTAGGTTATCATATGATTCATAAATTAATTAATTAATAAATCCTGCAACACCTGGAAGCTCCCACAATTGCATTCAATTTTCCAAACTCTGCTAGGCAACAACATTATTGAAAAAGGTCAGAGTAACTGGCTTACTATGACATGGGAGGAAGAAGTAGTTGTGTTTGCCACCCAATCTTAAAACCTGCAGTTTATTAAGGGGGCAAGGGTTGACTAATAAAAACAACAGAACCTGTAACACATTTTCCCTTCATATATCACTGAGGTACATTTATGAGTAACACATGATACAGAAATCACCATGTAAAATTACAAATCAATAGCTTGATTAATCTTTACTCTCAGATAGATAGATAGATAGATAGATAGATAGATAGATAGATAGATAGATAGA